CTAGTGAAGTTCAACCACGTCTGTTGTGAGATAGTAACTCACTGAAGACAATGATGGATGTGTCACTCAATTTCATGGATTAGATGTAGTTAGACATTAATACTGTTGGATGACAACCGGCTCGGCGGTCTAGTGGTCAAGCGCTCCCGCGCGTGATTGGTAGGTCCTGGGTTCGAATCTTACAAGGCGGGGTTGTCGATGAGCACTGCTGAGGAGTCCTAAAACAGGACGAAACACAGTTTATTCCTCCTTATTAGGAGAATACATTTCGAACGAAATAAAGAACGAGACGAACTGTTTATCAACCTTAAAAAATGTCATCTACAGGAGTGCAAGACAACAATCTTTCAAAAGAATGATGACCCGGAGATTCATACGTTCCTTTGTAATAAAAAAGTCGGATCATTTTAATCACAAAAGCATGTGACATAAGTAGTATGTGACATTAATCGGAAGTGGAAACCCCAACAGTATACGGTCAAAAATGTTGAGTCAATGAGAATAGAAAGGAATTGTAAATTGGGAGAATCATACTGACCGTGAAGGACATATGATGGAAATTTGCAAACGAATTATCCAATGAATGATTCTCATATTTTATCAAGATATTCTGTAATTTTATATAAAATATACATTTATTGTCCGCGCCTGAGTGTTCGTTCATTACAGAACTAAACCTTAAATCGGGGTATTTCGTTTAGAAAGCACAAATTCGCAACACAAACTAATCAATTTCGTGTGCAGATTTACATATGAAGTTATAAATGAATATTAAATAAAGAATAATAATCGGTTAAGACTAGACATTTACACAACTGTATGTCGACTCAGTAGTCTAGTAGTTAGGCGTTCGCGCGTGAGACCGAAGGTTCTGGGTTCGAATCCCGTGTGTATGTGTGTTTGGTCGTGGATGCACACTTTTGAGAAGTCCCCTACGAATTGGAAGTACGGTGCTTTATTGTTTTCAGAGATAATCTAGCATCAATCCATTCATGATCTCGATTAGTAGCCAATCTATATTAATAATATTATTTTAAATTATAATTCATTTGTAAATATGTAACATCCTACCTCAGAGGTGTGTGTACTCAAACAGTCTACAATGAAAATTTTGATAATGTCCAGGGAAGTAAAGAACATAAGATAAGATAAACCGATAATTCATTATTCATTACATAAAGATGTCTAGACATAATTAATAACATTACGAAAAAACAATTCATATTCAATTGGTGTTGTTTACTTGAATCTTCCCATTAAATTTTAGGACTGTAATTGATCAATCTCTTATTGGCATATGTACATCCTGTGAGGATTGACTCGATACTACCATAAGTCACAAGCTTTTTAAACAAATATGGATAGTGGATAGTAATGGAATCCAGGACGCACATTTAGTCCTATTTAGGACTCGTCAGCCGGATGTACCGACACCTCAGAGTTGATTTTTACTCCGGGATTCGAACTCATTGTCGTTCGTTTCAAACGTCATTGCATTATCTATTTAGCTATTGAATTCTGAGTTTTTCTGTGAAATTCAAATAGACTGATCAAAAAATTTTTTAACGGATAGAAAGTAAATTTTGTTTGTACAAATCAATATCATTCCTAAGCCCTGAAATATGTGTTAACCTGATGACATTACATTTCATCAGACAGTCAGTCAGTCAGTAACAAAGTAGAACGTCGTACGTACGTACATCAGCTCGAGTTGCCATACCACATTAACACAAAGATGCAGTTGTCGACTCAAGTTCCGTAGTGGCAGAGGTAGTAAGAGTATAAGGAGTAGTCGGAAAGATTAGGGGTTGAATATGTTATTCAAAGAGTATAATACAGTGAAATAAATTTGGAAAGAAAAAAAAGGACATGAAGAATTCAGAAGATTAGAATTTGGGAAAACACAAAGCGTGCATGCACTTGATCCATTGCAAACGATTTCGAACCATGTCATTCAGGGTCTCTAACCATCGGCCGCTATCATCTCGCGTATGCCAACCAGGTGGTCTACACCTACCAACATGACTCAGTCCACTTGCCAGTGATTTCATGGATTTGTGCCATGTTTTGTTTTGGCCGCCCCTAGCCTTCTTCCAACCTACTTCACCAATTGATTTGTCATCTTTACCTAGTACCCGTTTCCAAACAACTGTATTACTTACTCGATGGTCCCATTTCTTCAATCAATTAGTCAAGTTGTTATCCTTGAAATTTTAATAGAAATTCATTCAGTCGTTCATCCGTCCATCCATTCATCTAGCTACATATGACATCTACATTAAAGCTAATATCACTTTTAAATCTTTAATCTTAACTCTAAATTAAATGATCCTTTCCAATGAACAATACAGACTGTTCAATATCTGTTTAGGTTAGTTTGAAAGGTTAAAGATATACAATCTAAATCTATAAGGATTTAATATCAGGTGGGTGTTGTGAATATTATAGTAATTTTAATGGTTAAGATCATGAGTCAATTGAAGCTAGACCACCATGGAAAACCTGGAAGCACTGGATGGCCGTTTCGTCCCATTATGGGACTCCTCAGCAGTGCGCATCCACGACCTCGCCCCCTGCGAGATTCGAACCCAGGATTTACTGGTTTCGCGTGCGTGAGCACTTAACCACTAGACCACTGAGCCGGTTGGCATCCAACGGTGTTAATGCCTAACTTCAACTAATCCAGGATTTATTTATTATTTTGATTTATAATATAAAATACTTTGTATTATTAATATTTCCCTTATTATCAACTTATCAATACACTTTACTTTTTTGTGAAAGCTGTTTTCTGATTGGCTAAAAAAACAGCTAAAAATTCATCGCGGTTATTTTAAATTCATCTTTATTATACTAATATATTTAACTTTTATAATCAGTCATGAATTAATCATTCTATATAGGAGACTTCTTTACTTTCTTTCTTTCTTTCTTTCTTTTCTTTCTTCTTTTTTATTTATTTCTATATTTTGAAACAAAAACTGAAAGGAGAAACAAATGAAATTTTGGAAAATTTCATGATTAGTTTCTTTTGGGGGGGATATTTTTGAAAAAGAAGAAAGAAAATGTTCGTTCTCTATTCTTCTCTTGTTTCGGGGGGGGGGTGTATATGTGTGTGTGTGTGTGAAAATGAGGAATATGAAACTGGAAAGTACTAGGCAGGATTGATCAAGAGAGAATTGAATGAAGAGTACTGGTGAATAGCCTATACTCCTTCATAAGGAGTAACAGGCGTAAGTAAGTAAGTAAGTAAGTAAGTAATATATATGCATATGTGTGTGAAATTTTTTTCTGTCACACTATTATCAAAAGGATAATTTTATTTAAACAATTAGATTTTAGTTTAAAAATAATTGATACTAAGAGAAAAACTTTTTAAAATTTACTTCCAACCTCCCTCCGGCTCTCCGGCTCTCTCTCTCTCTCTCGTTATATACATATATATATTCAACATAGTTGATCGATATATGCATAGACTCATATATGAATATAAATGATATACATATATATAGTTGTTAAGATATATATATATATATCTATATACGTGGACATGGATACAAAATTGACCATACTTTCCCTGTAATGAATTCAAAACTTTTGATCGATAGACAGACATCGATCATTCATTCAGGTAAATGAAAGTCTATGAATTTGATTTAAATAAATATACTTTTTTTTAAAAGAAAAATTATAATATTCATACATAGATACACATACAATATGCTTATATGCTCTTATGTATAGTTGCTCACGCTATACATTTATCCCTTTTTTGAACACTTTCATCATCATCATCCTCATCCTCATCATCACCATTATATCCCTTTTGTAGTTTTCATATATAGATATACATATATACATATTTCTTTCTTTCAATGTAACCAACAGTAATTTTATAGGAAAAAAATTGGGGTGGTGGGGTGGATTGAGGTTGAGGGGTGAGATGTGTGTGTGTATATTGTCTTTCGCAATATTATTTATCTCTTTCCTATATGATTGGTCAATATTATTATGATTATGATTATTTTTTTGTAAAAAAAAAAAGAAACAAAACAAAAAGTTATAAGCCTTCCTATTCGTTGTTACCATTTTGTTGTCGGTCGGTGGTGTTGTTGTTGTTATTATTATTGAAAGTTTCATTATCATTATGATAAGCGTTATGCTCAAACAAATGAATACACGTACACATACACACGCACACGAGCGAGCGAGCGAGCACATACACATACGCACATACGGGTAAAAAGGATGGATAAACACATGTATACTCAAAGTATTCATTTTCCTTATTTCTCTGTTCCTCCCCCCCTTCTATCCACTACTACCTGATATATGATTATGACATATAGTTTTTTTTGGATATTCATAAAATGGTGATAACCGTTACATATAAAACCAATGTCCCAAGTATACATAAACACACACACACACGCACATATACACACATATAGAGATGCTTACATACATACAATGAATATGAGTGGATAGTAAGTGATATATGGAATATCTTAATAAATTTACCCTCTTACTTTAACCGTAACATACATATATATATATAAGTAATTCATTTTATTGTATGAATTAATTACTATTATTATTAATTCTATTATGTTGAATAGTACATTGAATCCACATTCAACAGATTCGAACGAGGAATCTAATCGTCATCATCATCATGATCATCATCCTGACAACAATAATTGTTATCCTCATTCATCATTACCATTATTCACATCATCAATAATAAATAAACAACATAAACATAAATTAAATATGAAATTATGGATTAAACAATTGAAGCATTATATACGTTGTATGGATTATAAACGATATAATGATATACGTTTACGTAAATATTTACATACATTAATTATGTTTGATCATCCGGTTACATCAACATCGCTCGACATCGACATCTTCAACATCGACTTCGTCAACATCGACTTCGTCAACATCGTCAACATTGAAATCTTCAATGAATAGGACTTTATCAAAACTGAGAAAATTGTCTAAGATGAAAATATATTTTACAAAATATGATAATTATAATCATTTAAGAATAAGATCCAAATTGAAAATAGATCCAAATCATAATGATAGAGAAAATCATCGAAAACAAATTGATGATATAGAATTATGTAGAACAATAAATATAAAAGAGAATTTTGATGAAACAATGAAGAATCAATTCAGAAGTGAGTTGCTGTTTTTTTTTTTATTGACTAATCAGATCATGAATTCATTGAAGAGAGATCATCATGGAAAACTTGTAAGTAATGAATGGTTGTTTTGTTTAAGTATGGAACTCCTCAGAAGTACGTATCCACGGTCTCGTATAGTGAGATTCTAACTCAGGACTTATCAGTCTCTTGTGCGAAGGCTTCACCTCTAAACCAATGAGCCTATTGGCATCCAATGGTGTTAATGTTGAACTTTAACGAAACTACAGTGAGTTACTATTTCACAACAGATGTGGTTGTGCTCCACTGGTCAAAACCAGTAGATCCTGAATTAGAATCTTACTATGCGGGACTGTGGACATGCACTTCTAAGGAGTCCCACACTAAGACGATATGGCCATCCAGTGCTTCCAGGTTTTCCATAGTGGTCCAAATTTAATGAAGTCATGAAACATTTCGTATGATATTAAAATTAGTCATATTTTTTTGGTTTGTTTTCAGTCAGAAACCATTTTTAAATGAACTCGGTAATCTAAGATTTCAGTGTCTTTAATATCAAGAAAATTAAGTATTGAACCATATGATTAGGGAAATTGAATTGATTATTAGATGAGTACCATGTAATGATTTAAAAGAGTATTCCCCTAAGTTTTAGTACGTAACTATGACTATATTGACCATTAAACATGAATGAGAGATATTTGACATATTGAATAGATCAACGTTTGAAGTAATTAAGTTCGATTTAGGATAATGACGTGAAGTTATATAGTCGAATGGTTGTTTAATTGAATTTAGTCATGAATTTAAAATTGTAATTAGAGGAATTGAAAACTTGACGAATGTATTAGATAACCGACTTGTTACTGTCATTAACTCTACAGAAGTGTAGAAAACTTTATTGTGTTAGGGATAGAACTTGTGTTTGTATGTGTGTATGTTCATGTGTTAATGTCACTTAATTTAGCCAGAATGCAAATCATCCATCAGTCAGACAAAACATAGAACTTCGTACGTATGTACATCAGTTCGAGCTGCCATACCATATTAGCACAAAGATGTCGTTGTCGATTTAAATCCCGTAGTGGTAGAGATAGTAAGAGTATAAACAGTAATTTAGTATTTGAACACTTCAATTTTTTGTTATAAACTGTATTATTTAAATTGGATTAAAGACTATGAGAACTGAAAGGTTAGTATCCGAGTAGTAAAGGGGGGGAGATGGAATAAAGTCGAGAGGTTTCCTAAGATTAACGCCAAACGTTCATCATTTATTGGACTTTTCTATAAAGATTTCCATATTTGATGATATTTCTTGAAATTTTTTTTGAATAGTTAATCAATCCATGAGTCGATGTAAGTTAGATCACCATTGGAAACCTGGAAGCACTCAATGGCTGTTTCATCCTAGTATGGGACTCAGAAGAGTACACCCACAATCCTCACGCATGATTCGAACCTAGAACCTTCGGTCTTAAGCATGGAAAACTTCAGAATGGTGGTTACAAACAGCTGAGGAGTTTCATACTATGACGAAACAGCCATTCAGTGGTGCTTCTAGGTTTTCACTGCTTGTCTAGTTTGAATCGACTCATGAATTCAACCATTAAAATTACTACAATCTCCACAAATCCTCATTTTGACATTAATCATTCATACAAAACGTAGTAAATTTATGGAAAGTGGAGAGCATTTATAGTGTATCAAATACTAATCTCGAATTTAAGTGGAATGTTATGTGTGCTTGACGTGTGTATCGGCCGGTGTGCAAGAATATACTAATGATGGGAAATATTTATAGCTCATTATGTGTGAATATTGGGAGTGTTGTGATCTCTGAGTTGGTTAGTTTAGTTGCTGAAACTTTGATTGTTCTCCTGGACAGCGCCATCAATACGTATTTCAAAGGCAATATACCGAATGGGGTTCGAACTTATTATTATTAAGAAATAAAACAATCTTTTTTATTGGGTTATTATAGTTCCTAAGTTCTTACTGAATGACTTCCATTGACCAAATTGGCAATCTAGTCAATGAACTTCAACAGTTCTATTTGGACTATCAATAATCTATTCATTCATTGAAGTGATCTCTTTTTACACTGAATTTATAATCAAATTGACTATTGGACTTTTTTTCATATAAACATTAAACTAAACTATTTCATATAGGAGAAGATTGAAATAAGTCAAGAGGCGATAAAAATAAACCAATACACAGACATGTAAACAGGGTTCAAACTATTTGGTTTAGGCTCCATACAAACAAACTGTCGGAGATGTTGAATGACCTATCACGGATGCATTCATTTCTCCTACCAGTGATATTAGGATTATGTCATTAGGATGATATACTGTTTCAACTTGAACTGATTCACATAAGTACTAGATTCTACATTACATATGACTAACCAGTGATTGATAACATTCGATAAGCTATCAAGATTATATGGTAGTTGGAGGTAGTCGACAGGAAATCCTGGACCCGGGTTTCGTGCTACTTGGCACTGGTCAGCAAGGTGTACCTGTAATCTTGAGGGAACTGGCGCTTGCACCTAGTGATCAATCAATTGCGATTACATCTCAGTCCTACGGGAGGTCAGTCGTGGCTCGGAGAGCTCAGTGGTAACGTCTCTGACTGTGAAGCTGGGTGACACGGTATCGAATCCGCCATGGACCACCAGTTCCCTCAAGATTACAGATACACCTTGCTGACGAGTGCCAAGTAGCAAGAAACTCGGGTCCAGCATTTCCTGTCGACTACCTCCAACCACCATCCAAATCTCAATATATAGTGCACGCAGTGTCGAGTCACCTAGACTGGTTGCCACATTGCAACTTGGTCGATAGCATTCGATCTGCACTAAAATAAGGACTTTGACACACATGACATTGATCACCACCCAGTGATCAATCAATTGTGATTCAATAAGCTATCATTTTGTTGAGCATAATAACAATCTATATTGGATTAAACGACTGGGAATGTTAATATTCTGTATTGTTGTATAGTTTTAGATATCATCTTCTAAGGCTATGGTAACATCAATGACTTGTCCTACATTTGAAAAAGTTCTTCATTTAAGGTTTCGATGCATATCACATTTACTGAAAGACAAATGTGGAATAGATCGTTTGTACACTTCTAAATGATCATCTAATCATTTCTTGTTATCTATGATGTTATTTTTTAATGATGAAAAACTATTTGGAACCAGTCGTTTCGTATAAAATGATAGAGATAATAATGATGGTGTAATCACTAAGTAGAAATTTACTATCAATGACACCATGGTAACTAAACAAACACAATGTGTCCAACTTTTCATCATTGTAAAACATCGTAAACAATGAAGATGTATACTATAGGACGTATGTATATCTCAGAGTTAAAGCCAACACCAGGCGCCTGAAATATCAACATTGTCCATTGAACTACTGATTTAAGCGTGAAGCTAAATATCGGGATCTAGGCACATCGGACTAACAAATTGAAAATATGATAAAATATACAATCTGGATTTCATAGTTAGTTACAATCATTCAACTAGTGGTCAAACAATCTTCTTTTTTCTTTCAAGAAAGAGGATCATTACAATTCATTTGTTATTGCTCTATCACTACAGGGGATCGAACTTAGAACCTCTTGTGCTACATTTATATAACTTTCATCTTTCCTATTTAAGAATCCAATTAATATCACAGATCATAACTTGTTTATCAACTTAGCCCCAATTTTTTTTGTTGTTGATTAAATTTAACATTTCCAATTTAATTTTCACAGATTGAAATCATGAGTCAGTTGAAGCTAGACCACCATTGAAAACCTGGAAGCACTGGACGGCCGTTTCGTTCTAATATGGGACTCCTCAGCAGTGCGCATCCACGATCCCGCACCACGCGGGGCTCGAACCCAGGACCTACTGGCTTCGTGCGCGAGCAATTAACCATTAGACCACTGAGCCAGCATGCAACGGTGTTAATATCTAGCTTCAACCAATCCACGAAGTTGCGCCACCATATACCATTGTCTTCAGTGAGCTGATATCTCACAACAGACCTGGTTGTACTCCAGGTCTTTCCAGGTTTTTCATAGTGGTCTAGCTTCAATTGACTCATGATTTCAATCTGTGAAAATTTCTAAAAATCTCCACAAACCCCTTCTGATAATTTCCAATTTAAGTTCCTCTACCATTAGACACTATTCTCAATAAAATCCCATAATCATAAACTCTTAAAGCATATGGTACTATCAACTTAGTGATTAATAAATCCATTTATTCGTGTATCACTTAATTTTATGGATGAATTGAAGTTAAACATTAACACCGTTGAATATCAGCCAGCTCAATGATCAAATGGTTAAGCACTGACGTGTGACAGTGATAAGATCCTGGGTTCAAATTCTCACGACGTACTATTAGGACAAAACAACCATTCAGTTCTTCCATGATGATCTCTCTTCAATTGACTTATGATTTCAATGATTCAAATGACTTATTTAATTGAAGTCAATAATAGGATAGCCTAGTAACAATCATAATTATTATATTAGTCATTCAAATTGAATTCTGATTTCATTCAACTTATGATTCTACTATATTAATGATTAAGTGAATAAATGATTGAGTAAACGAAGGAGGAGTGGGAGAGAGAGTGAGGTAGGGAGGTAGGGAGGTAGTAGTCAATGATTGAATATTCGTCAAGTTATATTTCAATTATTGTCACTTTACTAATTTTTTTATTATTTATTATCAAGATGGCCATGATTAGAAATAGTCTCTAAGATATATATTGAGTTGAGACTCTCTTATGCATATCATTCAATGCATAATGAATATGATACACCTGTGTGCCAATATTCAAGTTGTACTACACACACCTGTGTATATATATATATGTAATATGTGTGCGTGCGTGCGTGCGTACGTGTGTATGTGTACTTGTGTGCATTTGTGTATTGTGACTTTTAGCATTATGATTATGATTATGATTATTAACGTCAATATGAGTTAA